GTGTCTTTCTCCCACGGGAATAAGTGTATCATATACATACTTACCTAAATAATAGTTTTATGGCTTCTTAGGATATATTCCAAGCATGAATAATTTGTGTCTATTATTGCGCATCCTTCGTAGTTCCCCAAATGAGAAAATTCTGACCCGCTTCAAGGCACTTCAAGTATGCAAAAACACCTACAACATACAATATAGTGGAATCGCTGGACATGCTCTTTCTCCCAAGGGAATAAGTGTATCATTTTCACCTTTTACGCAAATGATAGTATGATAGTTTCTCACGATTTGTTCCAAGTATAAGTATTGTGTGTCTTTAATTCCGCATCCTTGGTAAATCACCAAACAGGTCCATATGGTTTCTTATATGATAAATTATACTTTGTTTTCGAGACAATGTGCAAAAATCTTTAACAGAATAGGACTGCAGGATTACTTGTTTAATGCTTCAGCTGAAATGTAATCTTAACCCGCTGCCTTGCCACATTTAGCAATATTCACAGCTGTCTCTACCTCCTCCGGGTTGTATTTGCTTCGAAAAAGACCAGTGTCAACAGGAATAACAGAACTCCTCCACAAGCAACATCCCCTATAATTTTCTGGAAATAGGCCTCATTCAAATTAATCACTGTCTTCCTCATTATACAAGGACTGATATTCACTCTTCCATCTATTAAGGGCAACATTTTTATTTGTAATAATACAATCCACCTGGATTACCTCCCCTGGTATAGAGCTGCGTTTTTTCATCAGTTATGCCAATTTAGAGTATTGGTTTAAAAAAATCCCGGCTGGCTGTTTGTTTACATTAATCCAGAAGTCGCTACTGTTCCTTTGATTGAGATTCCTCTCACATTAATAGAGTCACTTTGCCAAATGGTTTTCGCTCATACCCATACCTATGCTTTAAAATCTTCTTCCCAAAGGCAGATTTACAATTACGCCATTCCTGTTCCGAAGAGATTTCATTACCCCATGCACTGGGGCTCGAGTGCGTCACACCAATAAAGGTCTATGAAATGGCTTGTCCTATAACCAACAAGTACTTTTCTGAGCGGTAAACCCAGCTTTCCTATCAAGTTCAAGACACAAACATTATAATATATATATTCCAAATTATATACAATGGAAAGCGTCCTTCAGGGATTCATCAATCTTTTGCAGAGGTAGATCCAGCTTGTTATATCTATTTTTGAAAATATTCATCCCACAAACCATAACATTATATAATCCGCTTAACTTCAAATGTATATATACTGACAGAAAAAGTAAGGGAAAGATTATAACGAGCAGGAAACGGCTGGTACGTTGTGCCCGTCGGTCCTCACATGGCATGCTAGATACATCTGTGACAATAAGTTTTAAAAACACTAGGACAATAATACTGACTTTGTGCCCTTCTGTTACTCATGGCATGCTAGATACATCTGTGACAATAAGTTTCAAAAACACTAGGACAATAATACTGACTTTATGCCCTTCTGTCACTCATGGCATGCTAGATACATTTGTGACAATTATACTGGCTGATGTATTTTCAAGGGCTTAATTTCAGCCTAAATCATTTACCCATGGTACAATAATCACTGCTACAATTTATTTCATACACTTGTATTGGGAAGCATGCAGAAAGTATCTGGAAAAGCGTTTTTCAAGCATAAATAGTCGAAAACGATGCTTTTGGCTCCGCATTGTAAATTGTTAAGGGTCATTCACATTGCGCTGATTCATTGACGCACGTGATGCCCAAGGCTTCTTCCAGAGGCAGAATGTTTCGTGGCATGTTTTTCTCTGGTATTTGTTCCTCACAGTGCAACGGGATTTGATGATAAAGTCAATTTTATTATATGGAAATAGTCAATGAAATTCAGACACGTGCCAAGAAGTCAAACTAGCCTTCTGTTATGCACAGTTAGTTCTATCAGACAATCTGTTGTGTATTATTTCTTTCTATTATTGTTTTTAAAAAGAAATACCTGTTACATAAAATGGGCTTTCACCCAGGGTAGCAGAAAGCCCATGACACATAGCAAAACTTATCATTACATCTTAGATTTTTTTATGGATATAACATACTTCTCACTCACACATTCACTCTAGTACTACAAATATACTGCATATATCAAGTACGCATAAATTAATGAAGCTTATTTATCATTTTGCAGTGCTATAAAGTACATGGTCTCTAACATTAATGTTTGAGTATGGAACTAAAATTAAAACGGATGCTGCTCCTCATTTTCGAAAAATTTATAATGCCACATCCAAGCTTCATTGAATATCTGCTGATTACCTGTCTTGAAAGCAACATCTTTTTCAAAGTTGTATCTGAAAACCTGCCCTTTTATAAACATGAAAATAAGGTTTTTTATTTTGAAATTTGCTTCTATAGATAATGAATTTTGCAAAAAGTAAATGTAAATGGAACAGTTTATCTGTTTCGATGTCCTCTTTATTAAAGGTTGTGTATTGTTTTGTTACAGCAGTAAATGAAAGTAAAAAATATGACATGTTGGTTATAGGGATTACAATGGACTATTATTAATTGAGCCTTTCATAGAGTGTCTTTTGATATCAAATATATCAACATGAGTTGATGAAATTGGAAAAACTCTGAGGCTTGCCGACGAGTTTTTCCACTTTTATCAACGAATGTTGATATATTTGATGTGAAAAGACACGAGGGTGAGATTTTTTTTTTCATCCAACATCATTCTTCCAACTTTTTCAGTTTGTAGACAGTAATGAGCAGTAAAAAGTACTGTCAAAAGCTTCAGTGGCAGAGCCATTAGTGATGTCATTTGATTGTAATGTCATGGTAACAATGACATCACAATGGTCTGCAAAGCATTGTGATGCAATTTCATTGCAGCAATATCTACAATGTATACATCACGTGATCTCACCCAAGCGATATCTCCTGTGGTAGCCTGTATTGCATGATAAAGTTACTTACACTCAAAATTGTCTTTGTTATTGTTTGTAATTGTAATAATCTGTCCTCAAGATCAAATATCCCAACCACTCGGTGCAGCCCACTGACCACTCGCACGCGCCATTGGTCAATTGTTCCTGACATTGAAATGTGTAATTAAAAAAACAAAACAAATTTCCCTACTGTGGACAGCGGAACTATATACAGGGCGTCGTCTACTTTCAACAACAGTGCACTTCGCGAACTGTGTTATCTCAACAAATTAATGCACGATCTTATGTACCAGTGCCTCGCCTACTTTTGCCTACAGTGCAGTTTGCCAACAGTGTCAACAAAACAACTTTATGCGCCAGTGATTTATGTAATTTCCAGTTTACTCCTTCAGTTACAATGTAGACTCACACAGGCAGCCGGTTACAATAGAGTTGTTACTGTGGATCCATCACACAGAGTCCCTCAATAACAAAGCGAGATCACAAAATAATTCAAGGACAATTTATTGCTGGCAGCAAATAAAATCTTGCTAAAATATTGCCCCATGTCCCATCAAGCACCAATGAATTTCCCATTGCACATAAATCCATCGAAATCTAGTTGATACATTTTCCTGTTCAACCTGGATTTACACATTGTTACACATTAGTTACAGCCCGCCGTCATATAGCTGAGATATTGCTGTGTGCGGCGTTATGCAACAAACGGTTGCAGTAACTCAAAAAAAAGTGAATGAATGGCAAACACCGGTACACTAATCTGCCAGGTGGCGCGTCGGAATTTCTGTCCCAGAAGTGGTGGTAATGTAATGTAAACATGTCGGCTACAGCTGTTTGACAGTTGAGAAGCTGAAGACAGAGTTGCGATGCAGTGGAGCAGCGGCACGCGGAGGAAGATCGATTTGATTGAAAGGTATGTAGTTGTACAAGAGATTTTCCAATACTGTGTTAGTTTGTGATGAATCTTGAAAAGTCTTTGTTTTGTTCCACGACCACCCGAGATAACCTGGAAAATCCGAACTGAATGAAAAATGTTTTTTACAAGCTACAGTCCTGGCAAAATAACCATCATTGAAGTTATTTTGGGTATGATCTGATGTTCTTAGTTCTGGGGTTTGACATGACCTGTGACATTTTCATTCTCAATCTAAGTTATAATTCCAGTACTTGGAAAATAGAAATACCTTCTTACACGAGTTCGAATTCAGTTCCAATTAAGGGTCTAGTTGCACAAATTATTTTCATTCATAGTAATTTAATGCATAGTTCAGCTTCATAGCCCCCCCCCCCCCCCCCCGACTGATTTTAAAGTATGTTCATATAAAATTCATATCTCAAATATATACAGGTTTCTTATAAAATTTGTTTCAGATTGGAGTCCTACGACAGGAATAATAACTTCTACCACTGAGAAGGTGACATAAAGTTACCAAAGCCTGTATGATTTGAATCATTGCCAGTCACTAGGGTTCCAGCAACTGATGCCATCACACAAAGACAGGTTGTCGCCCATGGCCTCTTCAGATGTCGAGGCATATTTTAGATACGGGTTAGCTGTAGATAATGAAGAGGTAAGTGTGCAATTTGTTTCTATGTGTTACTAAAATTTATTGAAATTATTACCAATAGTAACACTAACATTAACAGATGTATTTAAGAATACATATCCTGTGAAACATACATGAGAAATATTTTCAATAAAGAGATACTAAAATGAGCAAAAGGAAATCTTTTGCTTTCAGACTGCAGATTTGAGAAGGGACATCAACTTTTGAAATCCAATCATGTCCTGGCTTGCAGTGTTGTCATTGATCACCATGCCTACTTCAGTAGTCAGTGCTGCTTTGAAGAAAAAGGTTTGTTGCCTTAGAAACAGATTGGTCATAAGCTCCATTCTCAAGCACATATTGCGTCGTCAGTGATTTATGGTTTTAAATGAGTGAGTAATCATTCACAGTTTTGCTATTCATGATAGTACATTTAAGTCTGTTGGTTGATGCATGTCATTGATCCCAATTTCGTGGATCGATGCTCATGATATCAATCACTTGATTGTCTGGTCTAGACTCGTTTATTTACAGACCACCGTCATATAGCTGGAATATTGCTGAGTGTGGCGTTAAACAACAAAACAACCAACAACCAACCTTTGTGTAAATAATGTGTTATACCATACATAAACAATGACATAAACAGGAATAATGCATAACGTGTTATAAGGATGATAGTAAGATAACTCCATATTACACGTTTTGAATTCCTTCACTTATATCTACAGCTTTCGCATCAAAACAGCAGAATATGGTGGTGGTGAACACACACTGTGAATGCCCAGCTGGTAAAGGTCCCAATGGAACCTGCAAACACCTTGCTTCCTTCCTCCTCATGTTGTCTCAGTTCAAGTCTACAGGTGTGATTGCTGTGAGGTGTGATCCTGCACAGACATACTGCAGACATTCCACAGGCCACAAAAGGAATATTCAGGTACCTTACCATGTTTACTGGGGAGCAAATATATTAGTATTCAAAGTGCTTATACAGCATGTTAAAATGAATTAGTTATCACGTTTTTTGTGTCAATTATTTTCTTATGAAAATAAAGTTTTTATTCTTTTAAAAAATAGATATTCAGTTCAGCTTTACACATTAAAATAAATTAAGTACCCCTTGGTTATATTATCACATTTATTAAAATTAAATATACAGAATGATTATTTATTTCATGACATATGAAACTGATCTTTCTGCTAATGTATTCAGTAGGCATTGATCGTAACGCTTAAAAATAATTACTTTAAAGCCTCACATGTTATTTCTGCAGACCATAGTTGTGTGATCATCACTCTTTCAGTTGTTTCTCCCGTTGCGGGTATACCCCAAATTATGAATTGTCTCAAATTATGACAATTTCACTTCCTGTATCTATCAAATTGAAAATAGTGCTTATTGGCTGTTTCTACATTCAAATATTATAAACTAATGTATCCCAGTATCAGTAATATGTTTTCAGCAAAAAACTTATTCCTCTTCTTTTTTCACCTTTTAATAGATTCACCAAAGAAAGCAGTCTCATTCAAGTGTGGGGCGAAGCAGCCATCAATGTTTGATGACCCAAGACTGTCAAAATACAGAAAAAGTACATCTTATAGGGACCATGTGCAAAACATCACCCTCAACTAATGCTCTTCAGCGTCTGAGGATATCACGAATAGATACCTGTTTGAAAGAGCCAGTCTGTCATCTGCAGTAACAGATCATGACTATCTGGAAAGCCCTTCACAAAATACTGGGTGGAGAGAGCCTTGAAGGTATTTTACACTCATGTTTTCCGTAATTGTAGCTGAAGAGATCTTCAATCCTGAGATCTATGTATTCTTACAAATCACTAAATTATTATTTTTTAGGATATCAATAGCTACTGTTTTGTTGCATTCAAATAAGTAATTCTCTTTTTTCTAAAAAAATACCCAATATTATTCACGATATGGTTAGTTCATTTTTTACTGCAGATGACAGATATCTGATCACATTATCTTCAGACTTTGCAGTGTGGTAGTTGATGGTTAGGTTGAATGACTTGTCAATGGATTTTTTCTGGTCCCTTTCAGCTAGATACGACATGGTTAAACTGTTTTAGCCATGTTATCTGATTGAATTGTTTTGTTCTGATTTGTAAAGGAGTTTCAACAATGTTATTGATACGTTTTTGTGTGATATAATGGAATTTTATTCTGTCAATGTTTGCCAGATTACAGATGACCAGGCTGCAGAAAAAGACAAGGAAGCAGGCTAAGTGTAGCTTGTGGCATGAAGAGAGGAGATGGAGGTTGACAGCATCTCAGTTTGGGACAATTTGCAAATGTACAAGGAGAAACAAAACTAAATTATGTAAACAAATTGTCTCTGGAAAAAAACTAGTTTGTAACTCTGTGAGGCATGGGTTACAGCAGGAACCCCAAGCTGTTGCCAAACTTGAGATAGAAATGTGCATGTTAAACCGTTGTGGAATGTTTGTTGACTCTGAACTCCCTTTCCTTGCAGCAACCCCAGATGGTGTCATTGATTGTACTACCATTGCTGAGGTTGTTTAAATGTCCTTACAGTGCTAGAAATGAGGTCATTGCTCCAGGGAAACTCTTTCCTTATCTTTGTGAGAGAAATGGTCTCATACAACTAAAAGAAAACAGTAATTACTACTTTCAGGTGCGACCCGTGAAGATTCCGGAGTAGAATAGGTCTTCAGCAACCCATGATTGCCATAAAAGGCGACTGTGCTTGTCGTATAAGGCGACTAACAGGATCGGGTGGTTAGGCTCACTGACTTGGTTGATGCATGTCATCGATCCCAATTAAGTGGATTGATGCTCATGATATTAATCACTGGATTGTCTGGTCCAGACTCGATTATTTACAGACTGCCATCGTATAGCTGTAGTATTGCTGAGTGCGGCGTTAAACAACAAACCAACCAACCAACTTTCAGGTGCAGGGTCAGATGTATCTATCAAAGCGAAAGTACTGCTTATTTGCTGTTTCTATGTTTAACGACTTCACTTGATGGGGAATAGTGTACAGGAAGTTTGATTACCAGACTCTCATTATTCTTTGAGTCTTTCCTCAAGCCTTACATTGCTACTCACTGCATTTGTTAAGATTCACGAACAAACTTCCTTTTGTGGATTTATACATCCATGTGAAGACCATGTATCTAAAAAGTACTAAAAGTCTCATCAAACTTACTTTTGCCTTGCTCTTAAAAAAAAATATGTGAAAGTAGTGACTTTTCACAGTTAAGGAATAAAAGTAAATATTTTCAACAATTGAAATCTGGTGATGAGAATGATACAAATAAGTACAGAGGTATATCCCTGATTGACACTATGTGTAAAGTAGTCACTTGTATTCTTAGCTGTAGACTACAGCAGTTTGATGAAGAGTATAACATAATTGACAAGGCTTAGGCTGTATTCAGACCCAACTCGTCAACTATATATATACAGGCAAAAAGAAAAACATATACTACTGTCTTTTTGGTGTACTTTTCTGAAGTTTTTGACACTGTTTGATTCTTATATATCACTTGTAACCCTGAAGACTGTTAGAATAAGGGGTAGGTTATATAATGAACTTTCATCACTGTACTCCAACTTATGTGCCTGTGTTAGGAATTCATTTGGAATAACAAGCTAGTGCTGAAATCTGGAGAAGAACTTATTTCTGAATTATATAAGATGTACAAATTAGATTAATCTCTTGATGTTGGAAAAATTCACATTCAATATATTGGCCCTTGGTCAGTGTCTGAAACTCCTTAGGGCCAGCACATTTAAAACACTGTAGGCCTTGTGGAAAAACTGTAGACACAAACATTTTAGCTGAAGCAGTTAGACATACTCTTGCAATATAAAATTACAAAATACAACCAGTCAGTCATAAGCTGGATGATAGATGGAGCCTACATTTATCAAGGAAATTATCAGCTTTTAAAACCTTGGAACGCTGGCCTTGGGAATGTGGTGGACGTCCTTTGCAATGAAACTACATGACTGAATGTCTGTCTGACAACCATGTGATGGTGTTGTACTATTGCATTCATTGTTAAAGTGGTGGAGAGAGAGAGAGAGAGAGAGAGAGAGAGAGAGAGAGAGAGAGAGAGAGAGAGAGAGCAGATCAGCAAACAAATGTGAAACATTCAATGGTATTTTTTATATAATATCACAGGTACAGTCTTATGTACATATATTCATCATTTCAACTGTTTAAAACACAATAAAGTTGTTATATTTGAACATTATATGTTTGTCCCTAAATGTTGATCCACAATCTATAAACACTTATGCATAAACATGCTTACTTTGTGTGCATAATCCACAAACAGCCTTGAACTATAAAAGTACATAGTATATATGTTAAACAATGGAACTCAGTAAAGTGTCCCTCTTTCACCAGACTTAGACACACTGCATAAGTAGTCCTTGTGATTAGATGCTTGTCAGATTATCCATGGTATCAGAATGCGTGTCACGTCTTCATATCATATGTACATCTGACTGTTTACACAAATTGCCCGTGTTATTTTGCTTTTTTTCTGACTGGTAAAACATGCTTTGTGGTATCTACAACTTGGCATATACATGGAAAACAATTTCAACCAGTATTTTATCACATTAAACATGAGGTGACATGGATGGGATGCCAGGCTAGTTCACCACAAACAACCGCTTTATTTGTACTTGTGTTAACAGACAATGTTCTCATGTGTACACTTTAAACTGTCTGAGCTTGTGCATAACCCCATATGCATGGTCCATGACAAATGATTGGCACAATCATTCTGTCAAAAATAAACACAACTCTTAAAGATATGTTTACAGTATATATAAATGTGAGCAAAATATTCATGGCTTTTCAGGTTGTTGTGCTAATGTTTTTCATTTACTTTGTATGCTGATACAATTTAAAGTTTTTCACCTTTGGACCACCATTTTTCAATTTGTTTGAAACGTCCTCCTCTGCAAAATACGATCATAATTGTTTCATCTTAATTTACATTCATATCATATTTGTCACAAAAGATTGCTACATCTGATTTCTGCAATTTGACAATAGCTTCACTTCCATTCACCATGCCATCAGTAAATATCAATGTGCTAATGCTATCAACTAACTCATTCACAAACATACCTTTGCAGTTTCCTGATTGTATTAGTTGAACAAGATCATTAAGAAACTGAGTGAACAGCAATCATACAGCCATGTCTAATACCCACCATACAGTCACAGTAGACAATCACATCTCTCTACTAGAAGTAAACTGTTGTACTTTCAATGCCATGAACAGACACCACTAGGTCATACAAACATACATGAATGTGTGAAGTATGTTTAGAATGGACATTATTCATGCAAGTCAGTTGGCATTGCTTGGGCGAAAGTTTGACAACATATAGCAAATTCGAACAATTCTGGAACCTAGTGAAACTTTTGATGGATGAAGCTCCCTCTGAAGAATTTTGTAAGTGTTGCCAAGTCCAATGACATGCTCAATATGAATTCTCTTGGATGATACTCTGCGGTTTTAACCCCCCTTCCCCCCCCCCCCCCCCCCCCCACCCCCCAACCCCCCCCAATTCCAAGCAAACATCAATGAATAACCTACATATACACAAAAAAAGACCTCTCTATCAACAAACTATTTAACATACATGAATTACAAACAGCCATAAAAACAAAAACCCAGCCTCAGCCACAGGTCTGGACAACATAAGTTACATAATAATAAACCAAATTCCCATTAAAATGCAACATTTATTACTTCAACTCTACAATAACATATGTATACAGGTACAACACCTCAAACATGGAAACATGCCAAAGTCATACCAGTCCTGACGCCAGGAAAAGCCAAAATGAGCCTGATTCATACCGGCCCATATCTCATCCCACCTTTGTAAAATTCTGGAAACAATTGTTAACAACAATAGACATTGGCCATATTTATAGACGTCAGTAAAGCTTTTGATGTGGTTTGGCACAATTGCCTCGTTCAAAAAATAGAAAATAATGCCATTAATGGGAGAATTTTAACTTTCATTCATTCATTTCTAACTGACAGAAACATAACAGTAAAATCCCATGGAACACTCACACACCCATAAAAAAATGGCACCTCATAGGTAGGATTTTATCGCAGACATTATCTAACTTCATGATACACGATATGTTTCCAAATTCTATAAAAAAAAGACAAAATTTCAACTGCCAAATTTGCAGACATTTCCCTCTGGACTTCCTGATCATCTACAAATTTAATCCAAAACAAAATGCAGTCTGCTCTGGATAATATTCAAAAATGGGCTTCCAAGTGGGGATTTCAAATCAACACTAAAAAAACATTGGCTTAATATCTAAAAAAAACAACATATGAGAAATCATACACCCAAACTACACCTCAATAATGAATAAATTATCTTAAAAAAAGGAGCCAAATTCCTGGGAGTTACATTTGACCAACATCTAACCTGGACTCCCCACATGTAAAAATTGGTCACCTCATGTGAAAAAGATTTAAACTTAATGAGAACATTCAGAGGCAATGACTGGGGACCTGACAAACAAACCCTCCTCTCCATATACGAACACTAATACAATCAAAACTTGATTATGCCGCTCCGTTCTTTAGTGGCATATCCACCCAAAACCATAAGAAATTAAAATCAATTCAATATAAAGCCCTTAAAATAGCTACTGGCACCAGGACTGGTACCTCCAATAATTCCTCATAACTCATAACCAACACACTGTCAATCACTCACAGAAGATACCAAACTATACTTAATTACTGGGGTGGGGCCCAACACAACCCAATTTATTAAACACTCAAACATTAATATGACAACATTAGCAAATCTACAACACACAAGTTTAAAAAACACCCAGACAAAGCCCCCTAAAGCCCCCTACATGACCCTTCTACACCAGCTCCTACAAACACACAATCTCACCAATATCACACACACACACACACACACACACACACACACACACACACACACACACACACACACACACACACACACACAATCTCACCAATATCACACACACACACACACACACACACACACACACACACACACAGCACAGCACTATATAGCAGACCTACAAGCCCCCCAACTGACACATCACTTCATAAAACACTTCTCTCACAACCCAACCCTCTCCCCCACCCCCACCCCCACCCCCTCACCCCCCACCCCCAACCCCTGATAAAACAACACTCATACTTCATCATATCCACTCTACCTGGCCAGGTATTTACTCAGATGCATCTCAGAATAAAGCAAAAAAACAGGGCTAGGTATCCATATATACCAGACTCCCCCCATTACCACCAACTACCATTATGACAACTACACCAATAACCACACTGGTGAACTACTAGCTATACTCACAGCCATTCATTCAACTAAAACACTTAAACAAAAAGAATTCTTAATTATCTCTGACTCATTAGGCTCGCTTAAACAAATTCAAAACAAATACTCAAAATGCCGCCCTGACCTCATTAACAACATCATACACCTTAGAGCAGAATTAAAAGAAAATAATAAACAAATAAGTCAACTGTGGACACCTGGCCATTCCAACATACCTGGCAACAACACAGCACACAGAGCAGCAAAAACAGCCACCACACACTCATCACTACCCATTCACTTTCATACATCCAAAACCTAACTACAGTCAAAAAATTTAAAAAAGAATCAAAATTCAAAA